CCATATACATTATCAAGTCAAGGGATTTCCTTGACTTAATGTACTACAGTACATCTACAAGGACTTGACGGAAATATGGCAAGGATGTTACCACTCTATATAAAATTTGAATAGCTATTATAAAGTGTTATGCGTTGAATGAAATAAAATGTAGAATTCTAAAACGATTTTAAAATTCTTTCACGTTTGAACTTGGCTCAAGTTCATTTCCATATAATATCCATTTAATAAATAACTTCAAGTAACCTGATTTTTACTTTCAATATGCTAATTCTATATTTTATAAAATATATTTACACTTTGATAAAAATCGTATCGCATCATCATCCAACAGGAAGCTACATNAGCATACGAAATTTTCAGGATACGACATGAAATTCGAACATATTTTTGCTCCACGATACGAACAAAAACTCACTATACGACGTTACATTAGTTCGCATTTTTCATTTGTTTTCCTTACTACAGTTATCTTTTTAATGTATTACTTGGCTTTAATTTTAGTATGTTTTTCGCGTTGGAACGAATTATTTGGTTTAACATGTAATCGTATGGGAAAAGTTGATTTACCTTACGACATTTTTATGATACGATCTCAGTTTCGGAACGGATTAATTTCGTATCCTGAGGTACCACTGTATATAAAAAATTTGATTTTCTGTGTAATTGTTGACCGAGTGAACGTTATATCGGAAATCATATAGTAGACTTAGTTTCGTATGTAATGTGAAATAGAAAAACTGCATTACTACTTGTTGATTTTAACGAATTTTGAGATGGTTTAAAGAAAATAAACATTCCTAAAGACTGGATCGGAAACAAAAGTTTGGCAAACAAACGAATCGAATTTAGCGCGATTTGTTGTTGTTAAGAAAAAGTCTGTCTTTTCAAGTAACTTATACGCTTCATAAACCTGTAAGAGATNGGGTAAGTAGTTCGGCTGCCCGATGACGTTTTACGTATTATAGGAGTTATTTTTACCGTTGTTTACGGATAATACCACAATTTTTATAGGAATCATAACTATAGGAAACGGTTTTATAGGGGGATCTACTGTATATACTTATTGTAATTCTTATAAATATATCGATAAATTATCAGATATTGTGGAAAGTTATAATAATAGTTTTCAAAGAAGTATGTCTCCATTGGAAGTTACTTCCCTACATTACAGCTCTATTTTCGAAAAGTTGTACGGTATAAAAGCACAGAATACGTTTAAATGTAATATCGGCGACCTCCTTTGAATCTCGAAAATACGTAAAAGATTTAGTCGAGGATACCTACCTGGTTTGACAGAAGAAATATTTATTATTCACGATCGTTTTTCTTCTCATCCTCCAATGTATACATTAAAAGTTTTAAATAACGAGATTTTGGAAGGAAGATTTTATACAGAAGAATTACAGAAGGTAATAAAATGAGGTAGTCAGGCTTTTTTGTAACTGATAAGCAACGCAGCATGGATTTATTTCCGAAAAATAAGCAGTCTCATTTCACTGTGAAAATGAGTCCACATATTGATTTACGTGAAAAATGGGTAGATAGTCTGAGCTATATTATTATTTCTAGAAATTGGTTTAACATATCAAATCACAATAACGATTATACCACCGTGTTTCCCCGAAAATAAGACATCCACAGAAAATAAGACCTAGCACAGATTTTGCTGAATTGCGAAATATAAGACCTCCCCCTGAAAGTAAGACCTAGCGAAGATTTTTTTAGTCGTAACGATCATCGACAGATGGTTGAAAGTGGCCGTTGGCTTTTTGAAAGTACAGCCACTGATTGGTCAGCAGACAATTACGCCACACGGCATGATTTGCATAAGACTATGGCTTGGGAATCACAGATTTGCATAACGTTACGGCTGGTGATGGCTAATTGGTCG